CTGGTATTCTGTGTAAAAATCGAGTTCTCTTGGTTTGCTTGTGGTCACTGGCGGGCACCTGCGATCTCGGCTGTTGTTAGCGTGATCGGCGGCTTGGTGCAGGCTTCGCCTCCTCTCCAGGAAAGTGAAGGGGTCGCCGACGGCGCAGGCTCCTAGAATAGCGTCCTTGCTCTCCGTCCGGTTTCTTTTCTCTCGCAGCCGGAAGTGCAGCATTTTCATCACCAGCGGGCGACGCTTTCTCAGTGTTCGGTTGGGAGGACAGTGTTAGGTTCCAAAAGCCCTTGGGTGTCGATGGAGTCACGTCTTTCAAGTGGCTGTGTTTATGGCCAGTGCGGCCTATGCGCTCTCGGGTCTCCACCTCCGTGTAGCCTATTGCGCGATAATACTGAAACAACAAAGACAGACAAGTTTCGTGGGAGTTAACATTCGTAAAACAGCCAAAGAAGCGATCAAAATAACCCATACACCGAGCTCAAATGTACTCGAACGCACTGTGGGGCCTACGACAGACTTTGGAGTAAGTCAATATGAACGCCTCACCATATAATCCACATGACAGTACGGCCACGGGCATATCGGAGGTATGGGTAGTCGTCGTAAAAGACAAAACCTGTCAGTTAAGTTGTCCTCAAGCAATAATAAACGAGAGAGGAGTTGAACAGTGTGAAAAGTGCAGTCCGTTATTGGTAGATCTGTCGCCGTGAGGAAGAAGTCGCGCAGGCTGAATACATTTAAGGGGCCGTAAGAGAGACATAGTCCGAGACAATGGGCCAATCAGAAGTGAGGAGATATGGCTGGTCGGCAGCTAGGTAGCTTGCGACGCCTTTGGGTGTGCTGACTTATCATGGGCATAGCGGCACTCCCAACAACTATCACTTATCGTTGACTACCATGTGACTGCAACCGACTCATTTTCCTCACCCCTTGAAGGGGGGGGGGGAATGCATGAAGTTCTCCGTCCCGGCAATGCAAGGGTGAGGCAGTATCCGTTTCGATCATGCCTCATTCCTCAACAGAAAATTTGCAGAACTGACCCGACGAGT